TGTAAATCTAAAAATGTGATCAAGATTAGTTGGCTATGGGAATTGTGACTATCAATTTTGTTTGTGATCGAGATTAGTTGGATGTGGGAATTGTGACTATCAATTTTGTTTGTTTTACTTGGCAGTGGTAACTGTGGAATTCAGGCTACCTATTTCTTTCTCAATTTGAGACTTAACAAGTATGAATGTGACCTACTATGTTATGTGATTGTGGTGTAAGGTTTTATTTGGATGTGACATATAAGTGATTGTGATATCAATTCACAAAAATGTGACCATTCTATAGTTTTTTGTATTATGTACAATTGAAGACTATGAATAAAGTAATCTCACATTGGAGAAATAGCAATTTGTATGTTAAATTGTGATTGTAATTTGTTAATCCAATTAACCCTAAATTAAACAATCACATAAATATATAGATCAAAAGCAATAAAGTAAATAACACCATATATGATCATTGAGAAAAACCCCTTCTCAGGATAAAAACTTCCGGGCAAACTTGTCAGTAAAATTCACTAGAAAAGTTAACTCACAATTAGTTTAAACACTACTAAACTTTAGCTATGACCACCTAATTTGTAAATCACCACGGAACTCATTTGGTTGTGCGACCCGCACTTTCTAGCAACTCTAAGCTACTTTTCCTTTCGCGTGGATCACCAATAGCCAACTGGTTCTAGAGTACTGGAAATTCAAGCGTTTCTTCTCCCAACTTCAAAGCTCTGAATGCTTACAGGTGAAGATATGATTTTTGGTATTTGATCTTTAGATCTTTCTGTGTTTTGATATGTGGTTAGGGTAAGAGAATATTGGCATATCTAGTTAATCTTCGTAGGATAATTTTTGTAGGTTTCTAGAAAGGAAAATATCCTTACTCTCTTCTAAAAATAATAATTGATACAAATATTTATATCCTAAATTGGTCGAACAATAATAACCAATTGGGCTACAAAATAGGGATTTAAAAAAGCATAAAAAAGGGAAACTTCCTAACTTCTTAACAAATAATCTAAATCAATGAATTTAGATTTTCTTGGAATAAAACAACCTAAATCTAGTTGGCACCTAAGACTTTGACACCCCCTTAAGTTGGTGCATAAATGTCAATCATGCCCAACTTGCTCACAAAAAGCTCGAAGTTAAGTATGAATAATCCTTTGATGAGGACATCTGCTATCTATTTCATTGTTGGAATATATGGCATACATATAGCCCCATCATCAATCTTCTCTTTAATGAAGTGTTTGTCAACTTCCACGTGTTTTGTTCGATCATGTTGTATTGGGTTCTGAGAAATACTGATTACAACCTTATTGTCACAGTACAACTTTATTGGCGGGCTGATAGTCATCTTTAATTCTTCAAGAACCCTCTTCAGCCGTAGCATTTCACAAATTCCATGAGCCATAGCTCTATACTCTGCTTTGGTATTACTTGTTGCAATCACGTTATGTTTCTTACTTTACCATGTGACTATGTTTTCCCAAATAAATGTGCAGTATCCACTATCAATAACCGATCATGCCCAATCAGCATCTGTGTATAGTCCTTTGGAAGAGTAGACGTTTGCCTGGTATGCTCTTCAAGTATCTCAAGATTTGGTATACGGCCTCAAGGTGTTTCTCATAAGGTAAATGCATGAACCGACTTACCAAACTTACAGCAAATGTAATATGAGGCTCTGTGTCTGATAAATACATCATCTTCCCTACCAATCTTTGGTAGCGAAATGTGTCCACGGGTTCTACCTCCCTGTCCTCTCCAAGGTTCTGGTTAGAATCTATTGGGGTTTCTGTTGGTCTGCAACCATTCATTCAGTCTCTTTAAGAAGATCAAGAACATACTTCCTTTGAGAGACAACATTCCCTTCTTTGACCTTGCAACCTGCATTTCGAGAAAATATCTCAAAGATCCCAACTCATTTATCTCAAATTCTACAGAGAGAGATCTCTTCATCGGTTTATCTCTGACACATCATCTCCGATAATAATATTTCATTTACATATATAATTAGTACAACAATCTTCCATTCAGACAAAAGTTTCACAAACATAGTATGATCTGCTTGTCCTTGTGTATACACCTAATTTTTAACAAACTGAGTAAACTTCTCAAACCAAACTCTCGGTGACTATTTTAATCCGTACATGGATTTCTTCAGCTTACATACCTTTGAACCAAACTTCTTCTCAAAACTTGGGGGTGCATCTATATACACTTCTTCCTCTAATTCTCCACTGAGAACTGTTTTCTCTACATCTAATTGTTGCAGAGGCTAGTCGAGATTGAGTGCTAGTGATAAAAGAACTCTAATAGTATTCAACTTTGCTACAGGAGCAAATTTCTCTGAGTAATCGATGCCATTGGTTTGAGTGAATCCTTTGGCAACCAATCGAGCCTTATATCTTTCAAGTGTTCCAACTTGTATTTGATTGTGAACGCCCATTTGTATCCCACCATTGTCTTACTTCTTGGTAGTTCCACAATCTCCCATGTTCGATTATTCTCAAGAGTCTTCATCTCATCCGAGACAGCCTCATTCCACTTGGAAACCTTTAGGGCATCCTACACATTCTTTGGAATCTCCATACCTAGCACTTGTGAGGTAAAAGCACGAACAACAGGTGAAACATTTTTATATGACATAAAGTTGGATGGCGGATGTTTGGTACATGTTCTTTTATCTTTTTGGATTACATGGTGGGTTCACGGACTCATGGCAGTACAAGAGATCATTGGACTCTTTCCTTTGAGTTGTATTCCTTCTGGAGTCGCTCGCATTTTGGTACCTATCTCTCTCCTCTTTGTCACACTGGAATCGTGATTTTCATGTTCTGGTACTAAATACAAATATGCATTTTCATCATTTAAAGAGCTAGATTTGCCCATATTTGGTACAATAATATTTGGGCTCTTAAATTGATTAACAGATTTGGGTGTGGATGGTTCATCAAGTGGAAAAATATTTTTCCTAATCTTCCATTTTTCTCCTCCTCCCTGAAAATCAATAGTAAAAAGCGGTGATATCCATAATGATAAGCAATTTTTTGAAATCGGATCAAAACATTTGTATCCTTTTTGAGTGGTGGCATATCCAATAAACACACATTTTCAAGCCCATGATTCGAGTTTGCTTCTGTTTTGGTCACGATTATGAATTAACGTAGTGCACCCTAATACGCTTAGAGGTAATGAAGTTGAAAGCCTATTTGTTGGATAGATACAAAGAAAAACATCTGAAGGAGTTTTAAAACTCAAAAATGTACTAGGCATTCGATTAATTAAATATGTTGCAATTAAAATTGCCTAGCCCCAAAGGTATTTAGGTACTATATTTTGAAATAGTAATGCCCGAGCTACTTCTAATAGATATTTATTTTTTCGCTTTGCCACCCCATTTTGTTGAGGAGTATTAATTCAAGAACTCTGATAAACAATGCATATTTCTAAGAAAAAGTGGCTCAAGTATTTGTTAAAGAATTCTTTGCCATTATCACCCCTCAAAATCTGAATTTTTTCTCAAAACTGGGTATGCACCATCTTGTAAAAAGTTTAGAAAATTATTTCAACTTTAGACTTTCCTCTCATCAAATAGACCTAAGTTAATCTCGTATGATCGTCAATAAACATTACAAACCATCGTGTACTAGAAGGTGTGGAAATTCGACTAGGTCCCCAAACATCACTAAGAATTATGGTAACTGGACTAGATTCTTTGTAAGGTTGAGATGAAAAAGAAGTACGAAGATGTTTAGCTAGTTTACAAATGTCACAAGGAAGATGGATTTTTATTCCTGAAACATTCAGGAAACAAGTACTTTAAATAATGAAAACTAGGGCGGCCTAGCCTATAATGCCACAGATTATTTCGCTATCCTTAGGAACATAAGTAGAATTGAAACAGGTACTTTGAGTATGTTTACTTGAGTTAGATCCATCTTCAAAGACATAAAGTCGTTCAATCTATCTAGCACTGCCAATTTTCCTCCTTGTACTTAATTCCTGAAATTTGTAACAAGTGGATGAAAGGTTAGCATGAAATCTAAAATCGAGAGTAATTTTACTGATATAGCAAGTTCCATGACAAGTTAGGAACATGAAGGACATTATGAAGTGTTAATGAAGGTGAGAGAGGAACAGATCCAGTTCCAACTATTGCAGAAAGATAACAGATAATAGCACATTTGTTACATTTTTCACCTATTAATATTTGCATTTCTATGATTATTTGACGCCTAAATGCACTAAGTA